AGTGCTCCTGACAGCCAGCCTCCCCAAAGCGAAGGGGCGGAGGGATGCAAGGAATTGCACGGCGATGGGCTGGGCACGCAGCCACTGCAGAGACAACCTGGCGATGGGGAGGGGACCCAAGCAGCAGCGGGGGCGGCTACCGCGAGAGGGCAGCCCTGACCCGGAGACCCCCGAGCCCCCCGGAGCCGCCACCGCGCCCGGGCTCGGCCAGCTCCGCCTCAGCCTTTCGGGGGCTCCAGCGCACCCACCACCGTCACCTCCCCTTCCTGTGCTGGCAGGGGATCTTCCGAGGGAGCCTGCATGGGATGCAGAGGGGATAATTAGCCCATCATCAACTTCTACGATCCTGCGGCTGTGTGGGTTTTCTCCTGCCGCAAGACCTTACAGATATGCTCGCAGGCATTTAAGAAGCCCATGGCGATACTTGGTAGTTCCCAGTTATTCCTCCCTGTTCCACTCAGAACGGAGACCTTCTTCCCTAAGGGCTTTAGTGGCAGCAAACCTGGGAGGGATGTGGGCTGGAAGCATCGCCTTGATCGGAATCAATCCACATCCTCACTCCTATGCCCGCAAGGACCGCCTTGCCTCTCCCACCAGAAGCCCATCTCTCTGCCCGCAGATTAGGAAGGAGAGACGTGTTTTTTCATGCGGATTTGAGCCTGGCTTTTGCATGTTTTCCATGCAGAGAAGCTGCGTTTTTCTAGCTCTCTGAGCCATTCCCATCACCACCGTTCAGCAAATGGCAGGACAAAAATAGCTTCTCTCCAGGGGCTGCAACAGGGCTGCTCGACTTGACTGTGCTCTGTTTCACTCTGCTGTGTGAATCCAGGGCTGATTTTGGAGCAGGGACTGCACACGCTCCTCCAACCACTGCCCCTCACCCTGAGCCACATTTAAGAGATATTGCAGGGTGAGCTTCCGTGGACCCATAGGTGTAGCCCCCTGCTCTTGAGGGCTGGCAAGAGAATGGGTGTAGGGTAATCAGGAATGGAAAAGGGAGAGGTGTCTGGCTTGGCGTGCTCAGAAGCACAAGCCRATCCGCCTCCCTGGGCATTGCAGACAATGTGCCAGCCAGGTCCTCTTAGGTTTCCCAGYCCCAGGGCACCCAAAAGACACAGGAGTTCTGCTGGAAGCTGTTTGCTGTGCTGCCTGGGGAAGGGGAGCATCAGGGCTGTCAGACCCACTCACTGAGAGATGTACCGAGACTGAGCTCCGTCTCCAGGGGTAAAGCGGTGCAGGAGCTGGCTGGCCAGCTGCTGCCAGGGAGACGGTCCTTTTCCCCGCCTGCCTTTGCCAGTASAGACAGACCACGGCACAGCAAGAGAGCTATTAAAGAACAGCTCTAGCCAGCCAGCAAACACATGCTCATTCATCATTCTGGAGCAGGCAGGGGGACGTGCCAACTGCTTCCAGTCAGGACCCATCACAAAGCCCATATCCAATAGCTCAGTAGTCTGGAAGGAAGCTGACTAGGGGGCTCTGGACCCTCCAAAATGCCTTTTATATTATGAGGGTGCTGGGAGAGCTGCCCTGCCCCAGGCTGAGAGCTTATGAATTCTGAGCCAGAGCTCCAGCATGGCAACATGGTGCCAGAGACAGTTTGGAGAGGATGCGACAGTTGGCATGGGCTTAGCCAAGGCCTGAGCTGCCCCCACATTCCCACCTGAACCAGGCAGGCAGCCTGCACAGCTCAGTGTGGTGGGAGACTGTCAGGCACCCACAGTGAAAAGTGTGGCTCCTGCAGGTCAGTGCTACCTCCCTTGAAGACTTTTTATAGCACCACCCAGTTTTACACTGCTTCTCTCCCTTGGTGCTGCTGTCTTCCTACCTGTCTCCATCCCTAGCTTGCTGCTGTGCTGGGAACCAGAGTGCTCCAGCTTCCCATCTGGAACACCCCTGATTCAGGACAGGGATACCCCTTTACATAACCCAGATTAGGGGCCTGGGCAAGAAACCATCCTTTTGTTGGTACTAGCATGTTGTGAAKTATGTGTTGCCCTGCTAGAGTGACCCTCAGTCACAGAGAATCTGTGTATGCCAGCAGTGTCCCTGCAAATCCACCCCACCAGCTGAAGATTTGGCCAAGGGCAGAAGTCTGAGAGCTTTGAGAACGACTATGCCTGAAGACTTCTTCATTCCTCCCTTTCATCCAAGGGCATGTCATTCCTGTTGCCCGGGGGTGGGAACACAGATTCCTCGAGCAGAGGAAATACTGCCCTTTCCTCCTGCTTTGTGCCTTTCTCTGCCAGCTGACCAAGAAAGAGCCCAGGCAGAGATGGCCTCAAGGACGTAGCTCGTGCTACATTATTGCCTGCCAGCCTCAGGGCTTGAGCCTGAAAAGTTAAACTAAAGAGTAGAGAAAAGATCCTCTTTCACGTGGAGGTGCGGCTGCYTCCCATGTAAGCTGAAAATCTGCTTCTTTACCCACATAAGAGCCATCCTGCTGTTCTTGTAGGGCTTGGGTAATTCCGTAGTGCTTGCAGGAAGCTCTTGCCACTGTCAGCAAGGCTGTCTTGGAGAAGGACTATGGGTCTGCTGACCTCCTCTGCCCCAGAGCTGCTGCCGCAGCAGGACACAAGCTGCAAGCAAGAAGGGAATAATGCCCTCGAGCTCTTCTGCTGCTCATAGCTGAGGCCTCGAGCTGCATCACTGAACAGCCCTGAGCTGAATTTTTAAAGAGGCCTCAGCCAAGTCTCCCCTCCCTGGAGTGGTAGGAGATGCACACACCGAGCAGTGTGGTGCAGCAACCACAAGTCCAGCGAGTATTGGAGAACTCTCTGGCCTGTACTGTGAAGTCCACTTCGTCACTGGCAAATAGGAATAGCCTTTCTGAATGAGTTCTGGGAAGCCAGCTTGGGAGAGCTCACACAAGGTGGGGAAAGCTTCATGTATTTCTGGTGAAGCAGTCTGAGAGCAATTTTACTTCAACAGGGGCAAGTAGTATGCAGAAAGGTCTCTACTTCCTCACCTGAAAAATTCAGCTGTGAGTTTCTGATGAGACCATGTGTGCACACCAGAAAATCCTTACACACACACAGAGAGCAAAGACAACAAGCTCCTTCCCATCCCCTCTGTAGCGCTCCTCCATCTTCTCAGCTAGGTTGAAAAGGTTTTAGGTTTCCAGCTATGTACATATAAAGGTGCTGACTTAATTGTTGTCAGGAACCTTGTCCTGATTTTCTTCTTCTGTATTTATACCCCTTTACCAATTCCTCACGGTTACCTCAGCCCAGCCTAATCTGGCCTTGAGTAGGTAATGCTGGCCCAGATCCACTTTGGTTCTGGCCACTCCCAAAGCAAACCTCTGTGTGTACACGTGCCTGTTCTTTGCAGATCCCACTGCAGGGATGGTGGCTGGCCACAGTGCAAGGTATGTGGGAACATGACTTTGCTCTTCCCCTGCCATGGCCCAGAGGCCATAGCCTCTGCCCTGCCCTTAGATGTGGCAAGTGAGCCCCAAACATTGGGAGGCCATTCCAGAAGCCTGGAATATGGCTCCGAGCCTGTGCTTTCAGCACAAACACCTCCAGCATCAGCAGTGCAGGAGGAAGTGGGGAGGGGAGGGGGGGCTGGCTTAGCTCCTCCCAGTTGATAATTCATTACCGCCTGTTAGCCTGGATCCATCCGGCCGCAGCTACATCCTGGCAACAACGTGTGTTCATTTCACACATAAAATGCTGTATCAAAATGCATCGTTGAGACATTCTCCCTGAAACCTTTCCCAGCCGCCTCTCGCAGTGCTTTACATGCAGGAGCAGTCCCTGCAATTGGAGCATTTTGTTCCTAATGGATGCCTGGCACCCATCATAGAAATCAGGGCTGCAGTTCATGAGAAATACAAGGGACATCTTCCTGCATGGAGCAGAGGCAGCAACATCTATGGCGTGCTCAGATCCACAGAGGGAGAAGCAGCGTCTGTGCACAAGCATGTGGCTGCTTTATCGCCCACCATTTGCCATGATGTAGAAGTGCAGCATCTCTTCCCTCTTCTCCTTCCCTAAGGGTCTGGGAGCTTTGGGCAGCAGGGCTGGCTGGTTTTGTCTTGGGAACATGGAAGTGCTCTCTTCCCATTTTTCAAGGTCCCTGACCTTGGCCCAGTGATGGTGGCTGTCATCCTGGTGGTAAATCTCCTTCCACAGCTGAGCAGAAGAGGCAGAGTGAGGGACCCCATGCTTGCACAACAGGTCACAGGCATGCTCTCCTGCAGCACCTTCTGACTCCTGCAGATCTAAGCCCAGGGTTGGGCTGATCCTAAAGAGAGGTGAGACTCACCCACCAAGCCTAAACCTTTCATGTCGCCTGCCGTGCACAGCCAGGCTTGCACCCACCCCAAACCTTCTCCAGCTGCCCTCTGAGCACAGTTTCATCTTCCCCCTCACGCCTCTTCAGTCTCTCCTCAGTCTCTCCTCTGGCATTTTCTAAGGCTCTTCTCTGCCATGTTCCCCTAGCACCACTGGGGCAGGGGGCTCTGCTGGTCTCTGGAGTGAAGGTTTATCCCTCCCTTGTMGGTAAGAAAACAGAGCAGGATTTAGCAAGAACAGCTGAGTTCAGAAGCCYTCCCTAGACCTTTCCCGTGTCCCCTGTCCTCCGCCCCCCCAGGAGCCTCCCCACGTCCCSTACGCAAAGGGCCGGGGGCTCTGACAGCATCGCAGTCCCAGCCCCCCGCCCTGGCGGGCGCACCGAAGGAGTCCCCCATCGGTGAAGGTCACGCCGGGGCGGTGGCCGCCGGGCAAAGCCGCGCCGCTCTCCCCCTTCACCGCCCACCGGCGAGGGGCGGGCGCACCGGGAGCCCGTGCGGCGGCGATTGGCTGCCGGCGGGGAGGCGGGGAGCGGCGGGGCCGCGGCTGGCTGCAGCGGCGGGCGCGGAGCCCAGAGCGGGCGCGGCGGAGCATCCTCGGGCACCGCGGCCCCAGTGCGGGCCGCCTCCCCCGCAGCTCCCGGCCTCCTATGGGCGGTGCCGGCGCCTCGGCCCCCGCACGCCCGTCCCGCTCGGCGTTAGCATGGGCACGGTGCTCTCCCTTTCCCCCGCCGCCTCCTCGGGCAAGGGCGGCGGCGGCGGGGGGCTGCTGGCCGACAAGGCGCCGGGAAGGGTGCCGGGCAAGGGCGAGAGCCGGCTGAAGCGCCCCGGCGTGCTCATCTCGGCGCTCACCTGGAAGCGGCTGGTGGCCGCCTCGGCCAAGAAGAAGAAGAGCACCAAGAAGGTGACGCCGAAGCCCAGCGGCGGGGTCCCGGCGGGGCCCCCGGGCCAGCCCGACCCGCTGGTGGTGCAGCGCAACCGTGAGAACTTGCGCAAGTCGGTGGTGGGGCCGGCCGACGGTGCCAAGCAAGGCCCGCTGGCCGTGCCGGTGCCCACCGTGCCCTCGGCGCCGCAGGAGCTGCACCCGGGCTCCGGCGGGGGAAAGCCGCCGCCGCCACCGCCGCCAGCCGGCAGCCGCCCCCCGGGGTCTCCGCGCCGCGTGGTGGTGCAGGCGTCCACCGGCGAGCTGCTGCGCTGCTTGGGGGACTTCGTGTGCCGCCGCTGCTACCGCCTGAAGGAGCTGAGCCCCGGCGAGCTCATCTCCTGGTTCCGCAGCGTGGACCGCTCGCTGCTGCTGCAGGGCTGGCAAGACCAGGGCTTCATCACCCCGGCCAACCTGGTGTTCGTCTACCTGCTGTGCCGGGAAGCGCTGCGGGGCGAAGACATCGGGAGCCAGGCCGAGCTGCAGGCCGCCTTTCTCACCTGCCTCTATCTCGCCTACTCCTACATGGGCAACGAGATCTCCTACCCGCTCAAGCCCTTCCTGGTGGAGGGAGACAAGGGGCGCTTCTGGGAGCGCTGCCTGGGCATCATCCAGCGCCTCAGCGCCAAGATGCTGCGAATCAACGCGGACCCGCACTACTTCACGCAACTCTTCCAGGACCTCAAGAGCGAGGGCGAGGGCGGAGACGGGTCCAAGCACTGGACGATCAGCCTGGACCGTTAGGGAGGTACCAGGCCCCCGGCGCCGGGGGCGGAAGGGGCCGCGCACCGAGGGGCGGGGGAGGCGAAGGACTGTCGGATTCCCCCCCCTCCTCCCGCATCCTCCTCGCCTTCCCCCTTCCCCGGCCGTCAGTTCCACGGAGACACTGCTTGGACCCTCCTTGCTCCGGATCCGGCTGCCCCCCTCCCCCGCCTCCGACCCCAGCTGGGGGCTGCGCTCCGGAACACCGAGGCGGCGGCGAAGACCGGGGAGGGGGATTGGTGTCCCTCCCACCTTCGCGAAGGGGGGAGGGGGAGGCTGCGGAGGAGCGGAGGTTCCTGGATGCGTTTTCTCTAGAAAAAAAGGGGTGAAAAAATGGATGTGGGGGTCGGGGGGCAGGAGGGTTCAGGGGGGATTTTGGGTGCGGCGGGTGTCCCAGGCRGAGGGTGCATGTGAACGGGCCCCCGGCACGGGCAGAGCCGCCCCGCGCCTCCGCCGCGCTCCCGGTGCTGTCCGTGGTGCTGGACCTGCCGCGCCTGAGCAGACAAAGGCGGGGATTGCGGGCAGGGCTSGGGGGGCTTCTGCGTTGTGGGCGATGCCTTCCCCCCACCCCCCGCCCACGTGTGGTATATGGGCCCCCCCCCCAGCATGGGTGGCTCTGCCCCTCACCCCGCGGGAGCCGCCCGCATGCCCCTTTGTTCGAGCCGCTGGGGGGGGGGGGGGGGSGCCCACGCCCCTCCCCGTGGGTGAATCCCCCCGGTGCGCCCCCCGAAACAGGAGGTGGTGCTTCCCCCCACCTTGGCTTGCTGCGGGAAGAGGGGTCTGTGCCAGAGGAGGCCTAGAGTGCCCAAACGGAGGGGGCCCGCTATGGGAGGGGGGGTCTCCTCTCCTCTTGCTTTGCTTCACTGGAGAATAAAGAGGTGGCCTGGATGGGCCTGGTGGTGGCTCCTGGACTTGCTGGGCTCTGGGGTGCAAGGGTAATTGGGGTAGCACCCCAAGCTCCTGGTCATGGTCCTTTCCTCCCCAGGAGGGGTGGGGGGCCCTGGTTTCCAAAGGGGATTTTACTCCCCACTGTGAACTGGGGGCCAGAATTTCACCCCTCTTTGTGCCCAAGGCCAGTCCTGATCCATTTGGRTGTCTCTTAGACCCTTGTGAGCTCTCCTGGCCTCCTCATTCAAGATGGAAATTCCTGATCACTGTCTGCCACACCAGGATTTAAACAGGATACCACAGTTCATGTCACCTCCTTTTTTTATTATTATTATTTTTTTTTAATTTATTTTAAATTTAGCTTTAGGTTTCCTAAAGCTATGCCCTGCCTCACCTCCTTCCTCCCTATCGCTGCTCTTCAGGGCTGGGCTCCCTTTCCTGGCAGCAGCAGGCTGTGGGAGCTGTGCTGCTATCCCTGTTACCAGCCCTGTGCCTCTGCAGACCCCCAGGGAAGGGGTGGAGAAAGGGAAGGCTTTGCCTTTTTTATAGCTGGTTGCTATGCTTCAGGGTACTGAATTTGCCAAGACTTCTTTAGCAGAAGCTGCCGCACATGCTCTCTGGTTGGGGTCTGCATCAAGTGCTTCACGATCCCTCTGAGCCAGGCATTCAGGCTCCCTTCAGCTGGGAAGAGCTGTGCTGGCTCTGCAGGTCATGGAGGGTAAGCTGGATTCTCTCTACCTTTGTGTGCATCAGCAGAGCTGCTAATTAGGCCCAATCTGGCTCATTCAGGCAAAGCTGTGCTGCCAGGAAGACAGCACAGATGTCCCTGTGACGGGGGCTGACCTGGCAGGGTGCTGTGCAAGGCTTTTCCTTGGCTGTGTAAACCCACCCAGACCGATGCTGCTCCCCTCCTCCCTCTCCTAATGCATGCTCTTGTCCCTGCCTTTAGATTGACATTCATGTGACCTTGTGCTGAGCTGTCTGGGCCACAATGCTTTTGCAAGCCACCCCAAATTTGACCATATCCACATCTTGTCATGAGGAAGGTAACTGGCTTAAATGGGTGGAACTGGAGCCTGGGGCAGCTGGGAGAGCCCTGACTCTCCCATGGTAGCGTTTTGCAGAGAGGGTAACTGAGGCACAGTGGAATGAATCCAGCAAGGTGGTCTGCTGCATCACAGGGTAACTCCTGAGCCATTGTGGCAGCTGTGTCCCCCTTGAGCTGTGGTGTTTGACCAGTGGTCCCTAGTCCCAGCCGTGGGGCTTTACAGAGCCTCCTCCCCAGAGCTGAACAAACCTCCAGCACTGGAGGATTTTCCCACCCTACAGATCTCCTTAGAGGCATTCGCAGGGTTATTCCAGCTTCAAGCCCCAGGCTTTTAAAACGCTTCCAGCTGCAGTGAGGCCATGTCCTTCCCCTCCTCCCTTGTGTTTCATTGATTAAGAGTGCTAGGCCTCATCGGGGGATTTAGGAAGAGCTAATTGCAGACTGGTAATTGAAGACAGCTTGGAGTCTCTGGAAATGTCAAGGAATGAGAGAGCAGCTTAGATGCTCCCGTGCATTTAAATATGCATCATCGGCTCAGCTACAGCCTTACTGGAGGGAGGGAGGCATGTCTGGTTTTCCCTCTCCCAGAAGACCTTGTACAGCTGCTGTRCAAGGGGGGAGTGAGGCAGGGGGTGCACTAATCTTACCTTGCCTGGGAGCCTTCGCTCCCCCCATGACAAAGGGAACGAGTGAGGGATCACAGGCAGGGTTGGGTACTRAGAGTGAGAATCTCAGACAGGCTTGGGAGATTGGTTTTCCTCCTTTTAAAAACGGTGTGATTTGACCTGCCAGTCTGCTGAGCCWCAGCATGATTGATGGTCTGGTATTGGGAGCCAGCTACTGGGCAGCAGCAAGGGAAATGGATAGAGCTTGTCCCAGCTTGGGATCCCTGCAGCCACAAGTGCTCCTGGGGGAGCAGTGAAGGACTGAGACAGTCTTGAGAGGGGGTGGGAAGCCCCTGTGCTGCCAGCCAAGGGCCCAGCAGTGTCTGGGGTTGCAGGGATGGGTGGATTCACACTGGGTTTGGGACTTGGAGGTAGGGCCAAGTCAGTGATCAGTCACTGCAGGGATCCAGGTGAGGGATCACAGTAATTTCCTGGTTTGAAATTCCTCCAACAGCAACACATCTCCTTTCAATGCCTCACAGTGGATGCCATRTCTGCTCCACATTGCAGCAGTGGAGGTGGGTACTGCAGCCTGCAGGGGGTTCAGCCCCTCCTGCCCCAAGTGGTCTCTTCTTGGGCCATTGCACCCTTATCTTYCTTCCCAAAGGTGCATCGGGCTGCTAGAGGCACCCTGGGTGGCAGTGGGTCCCAAGGATGCATAGACACACGTGAAAAAGGGAGTTTCTACCTGGACTCATGGAAAAAACAGCTCTGTGGGGCTTCCCTTGCCTGACTGCTCTGTCTGTGGAGCAAACTCCATGGGCTGCATGAGCTGGCCATGGCACTGGGGCATGGAGCAGTGATGGGCTGCTGGAGCAGCCAGCTTGGCAAGCCGTGCCTCTTCCTGTCACACAAACAGCAGGGAGGCTGTGTTTTTGTTATTAAGTGTTGTCATCATCCCCCAGAATGACTTGGAGAGGAGGAAAATGTTCTGGATGATGCAGACCCAGGACCTGCATGGCTGGTGAAGGACCTGCCTTTGCCCAGCTTTCTKCGCAAGCCTTTCTTCATTCGCCTGCAATGGTGAAGGATAACACGTTCCTCGAGGCAGATGGAAGTGGGAGGTCTCTCTTCTGCCTCTGTGGGAGMTGCTCAAACACTGTCTCCATTGCAGCTTTGGTCTGTTGCTATTCTGCTGAAACGGGGATGATTTGTGGGTGCAGGTTTCTGGTCCCCTCCCTRCTCAATGGCACTGCAGTCACAGCTGCTTTAGTGGGGTTTCTGTGGGGGAACACATGGGCAAAATGACCCAGGGAGATGGCAGCAAATGGCAGAGAGATCTTGATAGGTCCCTGACTAAATTGGCTGATGAGATATTTGTACCCGGGAGGGACAGGATGCTGCCACAGGTCTCATCTRATGAGAGAACACATCCAGGATGGATAGGAGCCTGCAAGAGCTGTGCCTTGCCCAGGGTGGCCCAGTAGCAGGCATGAGACTGAGGGAGGTGGGATGGCGGACAGTTTGGCTCCCACTGTAGCCAAAGCAGGGCCTGTAGCCTTGCCTGGCTGATGGGTTTGGGACCGAGGAGCACAGAGTGGGGACAGCTCTGTGCCAGGAAGCTGGGGCAAGTGAGGAAGGGGAACTGGCTACCTTCAAGCCCCTGCTGTGATAGATAATCCTGCCACAGAGCCTGGCAAAGCGAAGGGCTGGGGCTTTATAGTCTGGGTCATCACCTCCACCTCACTGAGCCGTGAGCATGGAGGTTTCCCTGTGAAATGTCCCCTGCCTGTTGCACAGTCCTTTGTCACCCCTGAGGACTGAGCTCCTTGGGGGACAGCCAGGCAGGATCAAGCTGTGATCCGGGGCAGTTGTGCAGTCTGCCCTAGGGAGTGAGTGCCCCCTGGACTGGACCAGGGACTGGACCCTCATCAGAAGTCCTACATTAGAGCATAATCTGACATTAGCACATTAATCCAGTCCTCCTGCTACTCAGCTCCCGCCCTCAGCAAGGTCCACACCGAGGTCTCAGTGTACAGCTGGGCAGCAGCGGTGCCAGGACACTCTGACTGGCAGCCCCGATGGGCACCAGAGAGACGGTGGCACGGGGGGCAAGATTTGGGTTTATGGTGGCAGTACAGCTCCAACCCTCAGTACACTGCCAAGGGAGAAAGCATATTTTGGAAGCATCCCCGTTGGTTCCTTGGAGGGACTTCACACTGGATTTTGGAGCCTGGCTGGCTGCACCTGCAGGCACTGGCTGAGCCACACTGTCACGAAGCACTTTGCAGGGAGCCAGGCCAAAAGAAGGTGGTGTCTGGAGGAAGGATGTGAGTCAGCAGCTTGGGGGTAGGGGGCTGAAGAGCTCGTGCAGCTGGGATGCAGAGAAAAGGAGATAAGTGGGATTTGGGGGAGCTGGAGAGGGTGCAGGAGTGGGGAGGGAGGCAGACATGGCCTGGCTGTACTGCAAAGGCTGTTCCCAGCATGAGAAATGAAGAGACTGGCAACATGACTTCACTAAAAAAGGAGAGGGGCTAYTCAGTTTCCCCTCTGATCCATTACTGGGGGGGTGTGAGGTTTTGGAGAAGTTGCAGGGATCCCCATTATGCTGGCGAGCAGCTGAGGTCAGGGAAGCCCTCGTGCCAGCTAAGAATAGCCAGAGACGAGTATATTTTTTTTTAGTAGGAAAAAAAATCCTTCTTTTAATCACAGGCAGCAGAAGAATCTGCCAGCCCATGTGCTCTGCTCCCTCACTCTTCCCAGCACAGGCTGAAGCCYTTTGGGACTGTGCTCCCCA